ATTTTCATCAAGCCGGAAGTCTATGGTCGTTGCAATTTATGAAAGGAACAAAAACAGATAACAGCTACCACGGGAATATGAAAACAAAGCTTCAAGCTGTAATTCAGTCAATGTTATTTCTCGGGTTATGGAAAACGAAAAGGTGTTTGTCACGGCACAATGGACAAAAAGTTATTTGTTCTCCAATGGACACCGGTGGACGTCTTTCAGTGGGTTCCTCATGTATCAGTAGTGAAAACACATGTTGCAAAGGTTGTTTTAGAAATACCGCAGATTGTTTGATAATGTTTGAAATTTTCATTTTATAGTTTACTAGATGTTATCATTTTGAGGATCATTCTAACTCCATACCAGGTTCAAAGTTATTTGAGGCCAAGTATTGTGCATGTGAATACTATACACTTTCTCAAACTGTTATTACCCGGCCTTAAAAAAGGAGCTTATTAACAAAACAATATACCCAATCCTCTTTGAATTTTAACTTAAGATAATGGACACAAATTTCACGTTATTTCACCACAAAACTTCTTCTGCTTATAAAACATTTGCATAGATATGAAATTATGTAACACATTGTCTGCCCACATATCTCAAAAAGAGAGAATGGAGCTAGAAATCCAATGGCGAGGCATGATTTCTCAATAACATTTGATCTCGCACATTTTCTAGAGGTCATTTGTCTCTTACGCTTAGTCAGAAATTATGTGAAATAAGTTAACCAGGAAAGCTGCCTAGTTGGATCGGCATGGATTAAATGTAAATATATGTAAACTAAAAATCAAGGAAAACCAACAAATTGATTTATTTAAGTTTTCTATTTACATTCTGCAATGATGTTATTTAATTCAAACTCTATAATTGCTCGACCTCCTTCTGGATCTTTAAACAAATTAAGCATAACGAAGTCAGTGCTCAAATTGCCATTTCAAAAGAACTGATTCGAATATAAAACTAACTTTTTACTTTAAGGTCATTTCATGGAGATTTACAACTGAACTGTTGCATCGTTGAATACTTGTAGGTTATTTTCGATTTTTATTTGCAGCCTAATTTAATTAAGAGAAAAGGAAGTAAAATTCGAAAATAAATCTTTAAGTCATAGTACATATGTGAACGTTCCCAAAAATATACTATAATAATTTTATAAAAATGTCGCTTTATCCAGTAATGAATAATTTACTTTCTTTAAGTTACGTCAAAGATAAAAGTCGTAAGCAATTTATGATATAAAATGTTCTTACAATGTTTTGTTTTCTAATAAAAAATAACAGTTGACCTGATAGAACCAAAGGTAATTTTCTCTGCATGCTTCTTTTTTCTACATATTTATATGTAAAATTATTTGTAACTCTGCAACATGCTTGCTTCATTGTTTAATAATATATTTGCTGCCGATGTGCAAATGTCTAAGATCATGCATGTCATATTCAGTTGTGTCACACTACTTCTATATTTGTAATGATGGTCATCAAAACTATTATTTCAAAATGTTTTTATCAATTTTATTCAAAACGGCCATTATAAATTATTCCGATGGGGAAACATCTGACCCCCTCCCAAATTGGGGAAAAGTTTTGTTGGACTGTTTTAAAATTTTTTCAGTTTTGTTTTTTGTCCGCCTCCCTTTTTAAACCCTGGTAACTGATTTGTGTTTGGGTCTGCTCCATCCAAGGGGATTGGTGGGGGTGTGTTTGGGTTAAAAAATCATTTTCTTTATCTTTTTTAAAACCCCTATTTACATATCAAGTCAGTATTTAAATTATTTTGCCCTACCCAACCCCTGCATGAAAAAAAAGATCAACAAAAGAAGGGGAATTCAATAAATTTTATAACCAAAAAGATTTAGTAAAAACAGAGCAAATGGAATTGGGAAACCCCGGGAGGACACTTTAAAAAAAACTGTTGCCGAAAAAACGGTAAAACTCGGTGTTACTTTTTATACATGTATGACTCGAATTGCAACATGTTTTGCATCGTAAGACATTTTATTATGTGTAATTGTCGTTCGCCGTAAATATTTCCTTTCCATACCCCTCATTTTCCAATATTGTGCTCCTCCCTTCCGTTTTATTCCCTACCCCCACCCCCTGTCCCTTTTATCCCGGTAACGGCCTTATTTGGAACTTTTCCGAACGATTGATAGTGTTTTCCTATAGAGATAAAACGAAAACTGTCTGTATCTTTTTAACCAGGTCATTATTTGTTAAATGCTTTAACTAAAAGTAAATATTTTGAATTACTTTGTTTTGAATTGTTTCGAATAAAAAAAAATCTGATATATTTTGCATATTGATTTTGTGTATTTGTCATTGTGTATTTTATACTTTTATAAATGCAATTTGTATTAAGGAAATAAATAAGTTATTTCTAAAAATAAAATTCGTTACGACATAAAAGTACGATGTAAGTCTAACAATAGAATACTTTGAACTATTTAAAAAAAGCAAACTTGTAACTAAAGGTGATAATCTCACTTAGTAAATGTGCATGCATTATATTTAGCTTATTCATGGAGAAGTGAATATACTTGATACGATGTTAGAAGGCTGTTTAAATGTTAGCTTTGTACAAAAATCGGTTGAACAATCTCGCCGCAATAATAATAAATTATTAATAAATATGAAAATTAGTATGCGTTTAGATTCAGAAGAAAAAATGAATGATGTATAGCAAAATCCTGTTTATTCACGGTGAAGAAGTTGCGAAAAAATATTTTGTATGCACGCTGTTACCTCTTTTTTCTGATATAACAGTATTTGGTATCAGTATTCAGACTTGTAAAGCAAAGCCTTATCATCAAAAGGGTTTGCTGACTGTTTTGAAGCAATTCATTTTTTCAAAATCTAAATACTTGATTTGTATGCTATTCTTTACTTTTCTTTTGAAAGGTTTTACCTATTTTTTAAACAAACGACAGGGCAAAGGGTAATAATTCATTGTGTTATGTTTGAAATGACTTTTTTGTTAAAACTTCCTCTTTAAGATTAAGATGGCTTGCTTTTGAGTAACAAACAAAAAAACATGTTTGTCATACTGCCATTCAGAAGAGTTGTATACAACAATTGTTTTCAAACACGAAGATCGTTCGGTTACAATAAGTAGTATTGCTTCGTCAAATATAATTCAACACTTTTCTATTTCAAAATGGGAAAATATGGTTGAAACGATGTCAACTTGAAAGTGATGTTTTACTCACAAATCAGGTCTTAATGTTATAAGACTAAGTTTTGAAATTATATATTATTTTATTTAAACTTAAGGAAGTATATCATTTTTAATTTTTCATCGTTTAAATATATTTACAAGAAAGTCAAACTACCATCAAATACATGTAGAGTCTTAACATCATGGGCAGAAATGAGGCGAAAACTTAACATTTCTATATGTGGTCTGATTCAAATATTAAAAGTTAATGTACAGGCGAAAGGGAATTTTAGAAAGCTATCATTATTATATCGTCATTTTTGTGAACATTTTTCTTCATGTAAAAATGTTAAAATAATAATTCTGCTTAAGCTTGTGCAAGTGCACATCGACCGAAACTTACACTTTACAATGAACATGCTCAATCAAAACGAGCCTTCAATTATAATAAATTTTAGCGTTTAGGGCGGTCTTTAAGAATTTTTTGTCGGTTATGTAAGCCATTTCAATATCATAAACCAAAACAAAAGCAAACCAAAAACTAGAAGGAAGAAGGAAACAAAACACTAAAAGTATGTATATACAGTCGTATACAAATCAACAATACAGCGCACATATATAGCCCGTAATATTTGTGGTGTACTTTCATGTTTCACGCGTCATTAGGAATGAAGATTATAGGGCTCTTTTTATTCGTAAATTGACAGTGTATCACAATAACAAGAAAAATCAGAGCCCTCATTTTATTTTATTTATTTATTATTTTTTTTTTTATTTATTTATTTATTTTTTTTTTTTTTTGTAAAATATAAATCATGTTTTTTTTCATTTGTTTGTATTTCATTAATATAATATAAGCAAACAAAAATATAATAATACGCTCAATAATGTTATCAATGTTCATATATTGTAAATAAAAATGTTAAAGATATGTTTTACATTTGAATACATGTGAAAGTTGGCAGGATAACATTCTTAGGATCAATGTAGTAATGAATTGTTTTATTTTACATCTTTTTACATCTTGCAATTCTACATAACAAAATCCAAAAGTATACCTTTATCTTTTGTTTCACATTTGATATCCTATAGTTTATTAGGGCATAATCATTGAAGTAATTTATATATTTTTCGGTACATTTTACTTGAAATGTTGGCATTTTGTAACATTTTGTAATATCAGTTGCTAGGGAAAATTATATCAAATAGCATATGTTTCAATAGATAAACAAAACAAGCGTTCCGAAAGCGTTAACAAAAGTTATTAAGACACATCACATAAAGTGATGCTAAGTGACTGTTTTTGATGTCAAACTTGAAATTACTTCAAGTAATTCATAACAGTTAAAGTAATTCAAGTAATTACTTCAAAGTTGAATTTACACATTTACCTTCTATTGTCGTTGGAAGATAGGGTCCTATATCAAGGTTAAGCATTTCAAGCACAATACAATTTAAGAGATGGTTTAAGTCCAATGTTGTTTTGTGTACGAAGGCTCTTATGGCATATTCGAACAGATCATGGTCCTTCAAATTTGATAGACGCTGGATTCAAAGACTGATGCAGATAGTTCTAGATATGTTCTAATATTCAAGTTATATTCACGGTTGTTTGTCAAAATAATATCTTCTAAACTGTTGTTAGATCCTTTGGATTGGGTCGAATTGTGTATGTTGATACTTAAAATGTGTTCTTTCGGTAACTCTTTTTGGCATAGTTTACGCAGAATGGGCATGCGCGGAAAGTAAAAGGTTAATAAAATAAATAACACGTTGAGGGACTTCTCCATTTTTAATGTTTGCATATTGTCAGTGATGTCCTTTTTGGAATAAATAATATTCAATGTGATCAAAGTTGAACTCTACTAAAAACTGTAACGTCATTTTTATATAATCAAACCATGTAAAATAAACATTTCATATACGATTGCTACGACTAAGACATAAACTTAACGATTTTAATACAAAAGCTTTCATAGGGTCATTAAGGAAGATAAAATTTCAATTGTTTACTTCTACACCGCCTCGACTTTTATAAAAGGGCATCGTTTCCAAATAAAAACGTCTCGCCCAAATGGTTCATTCCGGAGGCGAGCGCACACACAATATAAACGTTAAACGAGGTAGAGAAATTTATCAGTTGACAACGAATCTACGAGTCTAATCTTTGTTTTTTTTATAATTTACTTCTTGGACTGCGCGAATTTGGACGACGGTATGTTATTTTGTAGATATTTTAATGAGGTTACATAATTATGTTCTATATGATCATTACTTTACAAGTTTATTATAATACTTCTCGTCAAAAGATCTCATTGAAATTATTGCCAACACTTACATGAAACGTTGTTTTCTAATTGTCTTATTATTTTACTTATTTATGTTTTATTCTATTTTATTGTTTTCTAAATTTCTGAAATTATGAAACATTACAATTCTTTTTAAAATGAGAGTAAAGTACCAACTTTAATTGGTGGGTTATTTTCATTGCACGTTTTCTTTGATAAATTCTTTAATTTTACCTGTGAACAAAGCCTATATTTTCGTTTAAAAAACTGCATATTTTTAAATTTTTGAAATACAATCAAAGGATCAAAGCAAAAACATTTTTTCTTAATATGCATCTATGTTTGCTACTTTTTATTAAAATTATCTAATTAAATTCCCTTTTTTTATTTTTTTAATTATGGAAAGATGTTCGGTTTATAAAAAATGACAAAATTCAAACTTTAAACAAGAAAAAAGTTTCAAAACAAATGTGCAAAAAACAATCAAAACGCATAGAATTGAAGAACTTCTCTTTTTGAACAATATTTTTTTCTTCCTTTTTATATTTTTATTGTTATATTTTTCTGTTTTTCAAGTACATTTTACTTTTATTTATCTATATTAGACTGTTATTTTACAACCGCAATACAGAACTTCCAGAAGAACAACTAATGCACGAGTGAGGAAAAATGTTGGTGCAATGTAAGTAGTATTTTTTATGGTTTTACAATTTTGCTTTGATCGGTATGCATGATATTAATATTGATTTATTCCTTTATATTGTATGATGATAATAATTATGATGATAGATGACATTGTATTTTTGATTACTTAGAGTACATGGTGCGGAGTATTTAAGACTGTCACGCAATATTTTATTTCATTCTTTTCAAAATATTAATATAACTCCAGCCAGATATAAAACCATGTCAGAACACAAGCACTTAAAATAATTGCACATGTAGTTTATGGATAGTCTGTAAATTGCACAGGACAATAACGACATTACTATTGAATGAAAAAATATATTTGTCTTTCTATCTTTTTGTTAGTTTTGCAAAAAATGTCTTTTCATAAACTAACCACATTCTTTTGTGTTTTAGGCTTTACAATGTTTATTTTTGTATCTACAATCAGCGGTACAGGTAAAAGCATTCATTAATTTCCTTAAAGTAATGTTTTGTGAAAAAAATTTCTTTAGGATTCGAAAAAGTCCGGCATTATTCGTCCTTCTTCGTACATTATATTTATTTGAAAGCAATTTGCTGATAAGATCGACATTCATAGTCCTTTAGAACACGTTAACACATGAACAAACCGGACTATTCAAAATAATACTAAAATTAGTTCTGTACTTGATAAGATCTTAATAAGATTGTTTGCAAAAGAGTTAAATGAATAATCAAACGTTTTTTTTTGTCATATTTTTAAATTATTACACTTTTGAATTAGCGTAACACTAGTTTTTCATAATTTTCTGCATCTTTGTTAAGTAGTAAAAAAATTATGTTGTGTCCACATCTGCATCGACTTGTGATTTAATACCGGTCCAGTTAAACAAGCGTTTTATACTCACTCTGAGTAGATATTATTCTGTGAAATAATCCGCGCAACTGAGTCACACCGTACAGATTTTGTTTTAGTAATGATAACCAACAAAGATTTGCCTTTATATAATGCGTTATTTGATATAAACTTCTCAATTAAAGAGTGGAATATTAATACAATTATAAAATTAATGATTTTTAAAAAAAATATATTTTAACATATTTGCAATTCATTAATCACACTTAGAATCATCATTATAATTATTATCATAATATATATTTTCAAACCATATTTCAGCGTCTCTTTCATGCTTCACGTGTTCTGATGCACTTAGCTTAGGAGAATGTACGTCCATTGAAACATGCTCCGAAGGAGAGGTATAATAACACATTCAATAGTTGAATGAATAAAGCTGTATTTTAGTCAATATTTTGTTTAAACATTTGCAAGGTATTACATGTAGTTGTATTGTAAAATTTTGAACTATCACTTTTTGAGTGAGATGATGTTTATCACTGTTATATCATTATTAAATTTTGGAATTTCTTTGAATATCGCGTCTTGCACATCTATGTAACAGACGTTTAGAAAATAAAATTAGACGATTTTAACAGCTCAAAATGACTGTTTTCTTTCAGATGTTACTTTTAAGATTCTTATCAGCGTCTTATTAACCTAGTAGTTGACCTACTTTCTTATTCTTTCTAGTAACGTTTATTCAGATAGACGTGGCGTGTAGATGAATGATTAAATAAACGGGAGAGAGGGAACGTTTATAGACAGTCAGAAATTAAGACAAAGACATGCATTCAACATTTTGACTGTTTCTAAGTGATCATGTTTCTAGTTTGCAAGATTTGGAAATCTAACGCAAAGAAAGACATCAGTCGCAGTTATTTGTGATAAATCTAGTCGTATGCCGCGGTTTGGAAGTGGTTTGGTGGATGGTTGTGTAGATAGATAGATAGGCAGGTTTTCCAAAAACAATAAACATGTGATATTACCTGTACCATTTTTTATATTTTTCTTGTAGGTTTGTTACAAAAAACGAGAATATACCAGTCAAGTGCAGTTTAGCCTCGGATGTATTGACAAGAAGGTAATCGTTCATTTCTATCGGTATATTCCGTTTGTAGGCAATTTATAAATGATTACTTTTTAATTTGAAGATATCATTTTAATTTGAAGTTGAAACCGTTTGAATGACGATTCTAAAAAGTCGACTAGCATTAAACAAGTAGTGTTGAAGTTGTAGATGAGTGCATCTAAAATTTGATATGAAAGAAAGAAAAGAAAAGATTTTACAATTGTTTAGCTTAAGACCCGATAAGTGTTTGACTTAAAATCCAGTAGCTTTATTGGGGGAAATATACCACAAAATATTGTTTTAAAAGAGTAACATTGTTATTTCAGACATGTGGCAGATTTGCTGAAATACAAAATACCTCCGAAGTTACAGTACAGAAAATGAGTGCTGACAAAAGTTATTGCCAAGAATGCTGTTCGACAAACAAGTGCAACAAGGATATTTGTACATATCCTCCAAGTAAGGTTTGGTTGAAGGTTGAATACTGTTGAAGGTCATATGGTGACTTTTCAGTTTTTTATGTGGTGGAAGACATTAGGTGTCCTTCCTTGCATTATTTCAGGCACGAATGGATACATGTACTAAAATTGAGCCATGGTTTAGTTTTGAAAGTTAACTGTAAAATCGACTCCAAACCTGGCAGTATTTGAAACATACGTAAGAAAAGGAAAGTGGTTTCAAATCAAATACCTTAACCACTCGGTCACGATGCAGTTTCCATGAATGATTCTGCATGCGCTGGACATCCAATTATGAAAAACATCTATGTTAAGTAAAATATTTTTTTTAGCAGACAGAGTGCTCAAATATTGTCTATTTGACTAGATTGTTTTTCAAGCTAACTGTTTATTATGTTAAACTGACGTTAAATGTAACTCTTAATAATTTCAAATTGCGTTGAATTAGGCTATTTATATTTCAGAACTTGCGTTTTTGTATAATTTAAAGGACAATTGATTCTCATTTGTATATCCTCAAGCAGACAAAATACAGAATGCAGTCACTAGGCTTTAGAACAAAACTGTATAGTTCATCATTTAGTTGATCTTAGTAGCTTAAATGAATTGCATAACTATTAATTGCACAGAGACAAGACAGTCGTTTGCTTCCCGTTCATTTAAATACTGATAAAAAAATTCATGACAATTATATCTCAGAAATGGGGTGTATTGGTCATTTGACTTTCGCCGCTCCCTCGATTAGTACTCAATCACTTTCGCATATAACAATTGCCGTTTGAACATTGTTTTTGTTTTCTACAGACTCTGAATGCAAGGATAGCAAACATGTTGATTGTGCTCAATTGAACTCAATGTTCAGTATATGTGAAGTGAAAAATGAAGCCAAGAAAATTTGTCCACGGTTTTGCGACCTATGTAATTTAGGTATGTATGCTACTTGTATGTCGGTTATAGTAATCAAATCATATATTTGCAGCAGTATCATAAATAACATTATCGTCACTGTCCAATACTAATTGACGTCATAATTGGTTGTTGTTGTTGTTTTACATATTATGTAAAACTTTGTAAGCAGCTCGTAAAAATGTGCAAAACATTTTACAATATTACTTTTAGTGAAATATGAAATATAATATATATCCTGCAGTTGATGGTGGTTGGTCGTCGTGGTCACAGTGGTCATCGTGTGATGTCACATGTGGGAATGGTTTACTGTTGCGGCAGCGTACATGTAATAATCCGACACCACAAAATGGTGGCCTTGACTGCCCAGGAAACAAAATTGAAAAGAAATCTTGCAGTCTTCAATTATGTCCTGGTAAATTCATTGAAATAAAATATTTTTTATACTTACGAATATACTCAAAGAGTTGTATTATTATTATCTGCAAGGTGTATAAGTTTCATTATCCTTGCAATTGATGTTCATTTAATAGACTTAATCATCAATTCCTTTGAATATATTTCGGCTGACTTAAATTGATTTATTAAGGCATAGTAGTGTCATAAATATTGTGTTTAGATCACATTTGTTCAACCACACATTGTATGTTTCCCCATGCATGTATCACTCATGCGTGTAATTGTGTCAAACTCAAAAGGTTAGTGTCAAGTAAGCTGGAACGTTAATCATATTTTGGATAGTACTCCTATTGCATCAATAGTCACTTTATTTATATAAAGAGCTTAATTTGTGTTTATATTTTACAGCGATATTTGCACAGCCTGCTTTAAGTTTGAAATACGATAAAATATACATGTCTTTCTTTCAAGTGCACGGAGGCTGGAGTTCTTGGGGTAAATGGGGAACATGTTCCGCGACATGTGATACTGGAATGCGCCGTCGGATACGATCATGCACAAAACCTCGCCCGGAACGTTTCGGAAACCATTGCTTTGGCAACAACGATGAAGCCGAATTGTGTAAAGTTGGTCTTTGTACAAGTAAAGTCTGTTTTATAATATCTAGCCATACCAACAGTTAGGTTACAAATTCTAGAATTGCATTTAAAGAATTCGTTTTGTGTACTATGCTAGTCTTAGATCAAATATTTTATTTCAACAACTTCTTCTATCAAACAGGTTTGGCTTTCATAGTCATTTTGACACGATATTTGCACATCACAGAAGAACGAATGCTTGCTCACCTTTTGACGTCGAATATAGCGTCAATTAACCACATGACGTCAGAAAAATGACGCTCAATGAAACATATTTTTATCAATTCTCTTTTTATCAGCATTTAAGAATTGAGATATTTTTACAAGGTAATAAAATAATGCACGGCAAGTCTTTAAAATGCTGTATACTTGATCAATCAGGCATATCGACCTTTGAAATTATATCCATGCGCAAAATTGATATCTGTTTCCTAAATAATACATTTTTCAGAAAAGGTTGCTTTTGATGCGTATACAACAAGTAGCAATGGTTACTACCCAGATGGTAAAGTGCTCGTGTTTCCACACATCAACATTAACGATGGACAAGGGTATAATCCTTCAACTGGCATCTTCAAGGCTCCTGTGGCCGGGGTATACCAATTCACAGCCCATGTTTGCCAACAAGGAAACAGGCATATTATCATTGGTATCATGAAGGGCACGAAGCAAATTGCGGTCACCACGGGGTTTGAAAAAGCTACTTCGGTTTGCAGTTCCATCAGTGCTATTTCTCGGGTTGAGGTAAATGAAAAGGTATATGTGAAGGCGCGTTATAGTGATAGCTATTTGCAGTCGGATATATACAGATGGCCTTCGTTCAGCGGAATTCTTATGTACAGTTAGGTTGATTTTAGAAATACTGAAGTAAATCAGTATAGGCTTTTTAATCCATATTTTTTAATTTCCTGTAAGATGTCAAACTTTGTTAAATAATGTTTTAATAATGAATACTTAAACCAAAAGAAACTAGCGCTGAATGTGCAGTAATGTGTTGTAAAGGCTGCAACATCTATTCAAAGTAGTATTTTTACTTCCATACAAAATACTAATTTTCTTTTATATATACCAATTGCCAAAATGGCTTAAGAAACAAAATATTGTTTATGTATATGGCAACTGAGTTTATTTTTGGAAACTGGTGAAAAATACCAAAATAAAAACAAAAGTTTTGGGGAAACAATGATAGCATTTTTAAGGCATAGCATGACCGTCCAGACTTTTCTTAAATCAACTTGTTTCAAGCTGGCACAATTTAAGATTAAATAAAAAGTATTGATGTTCGAAAATTCTTATGATAAGAGTTACAATTATCACCCTTCATCAAAACCGCTCCTGCTTTAAGAAATTAATAATTACTTGTCGACAGGTAACTCAAATCTGTCATGATAAATTGTCTGATGTTTATATAATAAATTTTTAACATTACTGTTAAGCATTAGTCTTCTCTTATTGTATCTCACGTTGACATATGTATTAATAAGTTTATACAAGATGATGTACTTGTAAATCTAAATAAATTGTCTAAATAAATTATCATTTTGCTCTGTTAAAGATAATTATATAAACTGTTAGATGATTTATTTGTATAATTTATACAGTGGAATGAACCTGTCTATCCATGGTATTATGATTTATCGCAATTTGACTTATATAAATGTTGAATTCTTCTCGAGGCGATGTTAGGGTATGCAGACGATAGCTTGCATTTACCTCTATGTCCAAGAACGAGAGTCATCAAATTGAGTATGCTACATATAATGGACGACCTTTTTTGTTGGTTTTATTTTGTTGTTGTTGTTGTTTTATATTTCAAGCTAATATTTGTGGTATGGTGAGAGAAAGTCAATGTAGCATTAAATCGTTTAATATCTATGTTAGTCGCTATCACTTGTTATTTCTCAATTATATTTCATAGCCGATTAAACTTGCGTTTGCAAATTATAGTTGTTGAATTCAGGAAGTTAGACGGTAACTTTTAACAAAATTATTTCTCTATCAAACTTCAACAGTATGAAATAAATCGTCCTATCTTATGAATGTAAAACTAGACGATTTTATGCTGTTATCACGTGTGTACACAAAAAAAAGAATTATTATTAAAATATAAACTTTAAATTTTGTAACTTGAAGCATAATAAAATACTGTCTTTCTGCATGTTTGTGTCGCTTTATCATTTGAGACTCTATAACTTTGTTTGTGTAGTGTACATGGAGTATTTGATATATGTCATTTACTATTAGCAATGGACTATTGTAGTTTCACATTAACTACAGGTAATTTTAGAGTTTATTTGCCGTATACAGATTGATCCACAAAGGTTAATCGGCATCGTCATTTTGTTCTGGTTTCTCTTTATGTTATATCATAATTATGTGAATTTCCGGATTATTTGATGCCCATTGTTTGGCATTATTGACATTAAACTTTTTTATTTGTGGGATGTTTTTCGTTAATTTTGTATTATTATTATTATTATGATTTACGCATAAAATTGTAATGATATTACAAATCTCGATACTTTAATCAAATAATATTATACAGTGTAAAATAAATAATTAAATACTGTTTGTAGGCCGAGTGGTAAGAACGAGGAAGTTGTGATCACGTTATATGAATAGATTAATTTCAATATGTATAGTTGCACAATGGGTGACTCGCATGTATAAAACATAAAGATCAAGTCTAGAAAAATATAATAATAAATCATACAAGAAAACATAAAACAACATATGATTCAAACCTACAACTTACTGAAAGTCTTACTCCTTGTCAAGAGGCTTATAAGTCAAGAGGTAGGCTGGTAAGTTATACGTTTCCCGTTGAATTATAATCATTAAAATCCGTATGGTTTACGTCGGAATCCTATAATTACCGGCAAAAGGTCATTGAATATGCAAATGTCTCAGGTCAATATTGCCAAACCATACTTTGACTTAATTACTGTTGGGTAACACTCAAAGTTATCGGGAAAATATTGCTTACTAAATAATCACTAGCTAAGAAGGAAGTATAACGAACTAAGTGTGTCTATTTGTTAGTTTAATAATACTTTATTGCAGCTATTTTATACATAAATACACGTAAGGTTATATGATAGTGGTGCAGGTGCTTTAATTACTATAAATAAAATCATAAAACAGTATTTTAAATTGCATTTGATTTTTCCTTAACATATTTTACCCTATCATTGAAGCATCTTTACCTATCAGTCTAAAACTGTGCATTTAACACACTACAATGTTATCATCAAATTGTATATTTAATTGGAAAATACATTTAAATAATTGCAAACTATATATTTTCGAGGTAATTAAATAGCATCGTGTTTAATATACATGTTTCTTCATATTGTAATATGTTTTGTAAATAATATTTTTGCGTAAACTATATACGTCGATATTTTTTATTACATTCACAATATCCGTAAAACTACCACGCACTCATTAAATTGTATATTCAATTGGAAAATAACATTTAAATAATTGCAAAATATATTTTGTTTTATATATATTTCCAGTTAATGGCGGCCGACAGTACAGCTTCCAGGGTCGACTCACTTAAAAACCTTATCTATAAAATCATAAAACATATACATATATAAAAACCCAAACTGTATCAATAATAAAAACTGCGTCTGATAACAACAACCCATACTTAGCCTTTGTAGACTTTGAAAAATGCTTTGATAAATAACAGCGTTCGTTTATCATTAAAAAACTTATTCAGGAAAATGTTAGCTCAAAATTTGTATATTTTAAAGCAATTGAGTGTACACCAGCGTAAAACCAGCGGTACGGTAAAATAAAATAAAGAGGTAAACGAAGAAGTTTTTTTGTCAGACATGAATTTTAAATTGTAAAAGAAATGTTTGAACTACGATAAACTGCATCAAATTCAAAGTATGTTTTAACTTAATATTATAAAACTAACATGAGAGAAAATCTTTAGACTGAATTTCAAAAAAATAACGAAAATCACAGATCAAAGGGAAGGTGATTCTTGAAATAAAGGAATTATGTCAGTACTTCCAAGTGTAAGAAAGGTGAATTTCGAGGAAATACATGTAGGTCAGAGCACCAAATCATCCGTAGAAAATTTCCTATTTTTTTTTTTTTTTGTTATTGTTGTTGTTGCTACTACTGTTGCAGTTGTTGCTGTTGTTACTATTTACGGGAAAACAAAAATGTTGGAGCTGTGATGATTCTACAAAGCCATTAAATGACGGAAAATTATATTTAATAACCACCTACTGAGGCTATTTATGCTGTGAATGACAAATATATTAGCATAATATATTACCTATTTTGGATATTTGTCTTTAACGAAATGTTCGATTAAATTATACAAAATTTGATCATAAAATTGTCATGACTTAGTAATTTTTTTTTTATTATAATAAATGATTTTCCTCGTAAGATAACATATATTAAAAAGATCAGATTATATAAATCATAACTCTCACTGTCAAGTTAATTAACATGACATTGTACGTATCACACAATACATTTAATCATGTACTGCCCGGGGGTGCGGAAATTAGCCTCAATATACCTATCAATCAGACACTCTTTTATTGCCCTGTGGTAATTTTTCAGTGTTCGAAATTGAGATACGGAAATGGTGTCAACAAATCAAGATGCATTATATGGAGAAATAGGGAGATATCCAATGGCAATATACCGTAAAATCATAATGTTCAAATACTGGATTAAAATACTTAAGTCACCTGATAACTCAATTCTTAAAAAAATGTATAACATGCTAAAAGAAGATGCAGATAATGAGCTATCATACAGAGAAAAAAACTGGGCTTATCAAATAAAAAATATACTGAACCAAATAGGAATGTCTTACGTTTGGCTACAACAAGATAATTTAAATATAAATGTATGTGTCATAAAGCAAAGAATTTTAGATATCTACAAACAAAATTGGTATTCAAGTATTAATAATTCTAACAGACTTTCGTCTTACAGTCATTTTAAACAGGAATTTCAGTGCGAAAAGTATTTAAGCGTTATAAACAAAGATAGCCATAGGATTATTTTAACCAAATTTAGATTATCGGCTCATTATCTCGAAATAGAAAAAGGAAGGCACGATAATATTCCAAGAGAAAACAGAAAATGTCGAAATTGTCCATTAAATTTAGTAGAGACAGAATATCATTTCTTATTAATATGCCCGAAATATTACAATTTACGTAGAAAGTTTTTAAACCATATTTTTGTAGATGGCCTTTAATGCAGAAATTCGAAACACTAATGGCATGCACAAATATCAAAACAATTACTAATCTGGCAAGTTATCTGTACTACGCATTTAAAGAGAGGACATAACTTAAGATTTTAATATCCGATACTTTTTTCTTATGATTACAAGTAAATGGGAGATAACTACGACAATAAATGATTAGTACATATACAACGGTTATGCCATCTTAGAAATACTATAATTTCCGTTTGATTTGTGGATATCGATATGATATAACGTTAACAAATATCTTTCTACTTAGCTTCTTACATATTTAAGTGCATTTATGTTTATACTTGTCACCAATAATTCTCGGCACGTGAACAAATCTCTTTCTATTGTGTACATGTATAAGTACTTTTATGCAATTATGTCGTAACCTTTGTTTATATTTGTCAACAATACTTCTCGGCAAAGTTAACAAATATTTTTTCTTCTTTGTTTAAGTACATTTGTTTCTTACATGTATAAGTATTTCTTATGCAAACTCTGTTACATATATCATAACATTTGTTCATACTCGTTAGCAATACTTCTCGGCTAATTGTAACTTGTAACACTTAACACTATACAGAATATGAGTTGACTATAAATTGTATGTTTACAATTTTATGTGAAATAAAATTTATGTTATGTTATGTTATGTATGTACGTTATAACTCGTCTGAGTAAACATAAGAATAAGTATTTCTGTTTTCATGAATACTCATTTTCTGACATTGGAAAATGTTGTATTTTTATTTTTTGTGTCTGTGTTTTGTTTTTTGTTTTTTTTTTTGTTTTGTTTTTTTTTTTTTTTTTTTTTTTTTTTTGGGGGGGTTGTTTGTTAGTTCGACTGTATTTTTAAGACTATTTACATGTGTAACGGGCCTTCAGCTTTTCAATAGGTTAAATATATATACTCTTTTCAGGTTAATCGTTTCATAAAATTGTCAAATAAATATATTTAGAGTGGAAAAGGAAATTTGACGACGATAAAATACATGAACAAAAAAGGAACACCTTTTTAACCTCCTATCTATAATTAGATAAGTTAAGCGACTGATTCGTGTCCCGATCTTCTATTTTTAGAAACGAAAGTCTCTTAAGCGTTAAAAATAGCTCACAGAGCGCTGTTTTGAAAAAGGCTTTAACAGTGATGCGTTGCACTTTTCCGAGATAAACTTACTAAAATACATAATTTGAAACAGTATAGAATTTTTGTTTTGTTTTGTTTTGTTGTTGTTTTTTTTTCAACAGAAAATAAAAATCTTTAGGCCGCTTTAACCCTAATCACGCTGGCTGCAACATGTGTACATGTACGACAAGCGAGAAATGCAGACGATTAGATCAGCCAGACATTTGTTTTGTCTCATCATGGTCTGCAGTGTTTCTTTATGCAGTCAATACATTCCTATATGTCTTGAACATTTCATTTAAAATAGATGATTTTTGGTCAAGATTGTAAGATAAAAGCTGAATCCATGTAGGATATTTATCGTGCAAACTGTATACTGGGGCTGGCTGATTCTCTCTGATATACTGTCTTATTAACTTAGACTTTTACTTTTGTTATTCTTTGGTAGGTGTAGAGTTTATCAAGTTTTTATCCAGATATACTTGGCGTTTAAATGAAAAAAAGAAAAGAAACACTATTGAGGACATTCTAAAATATGCAAAATAGATGTACAACAATTTTCACATCGACGCATACTATTTGGAAGATAAAAGTAGGGCATGGAATTATCATTAACCCATTACTTCATGAGCATTTTGTGAAAAATGTATTTTTTCATCGAAAAGTCTCCTGTTACAAGTTTAAATTGCTATATAACTATAAAAACTGCTTCAATACTAATCAAACTTGGCGCAAATGTTGACTGGACCATTGCTTTTGTACATAACGACATGCTCAGTCTTAAATTTCCTTTCACCATGGCAAGGAAGGGACATCTCTAAATTGCCAAAAACACTGTTTTGCGTTGATTTTTTCCATGAAAATTGATTTCAAAGGGCTGCAACTTCTTAATGGATTGAGATAGAGTCAAAGGTTTTCAGCGTTGGTCACAGGTTACCTTATGATCGACCTGAGGTCATTTTTAGCCTCTATCAAGTCCAAAACTTTCTTGGCGATGAGGAGGACTGCCCCCCCCCCCACCCTTCTGGCAACCCCTGATGCATCTTTTGGATGAGGGACGGCGCCGAAAAAGTGGTCACTTTTTTAAGCAACACTCCGTAAACAAAACAAGTGTTGGGGGCCTTAATTATGCATTTTTTTACCATTTGAGACAACAGATGGGGGGGGGGGGGTAAAAAGGCGTGTCTATCGGGTATTGAATTAACAGAAAATGATGAAAATACCTGAAATTACACACAATCGCTTTTTTTATGTTAAAACATGGTCTTGCATATAATTTTGAAGAAAAAATGATGTTTTGTAGATTTTTTTTTTGATTTTTTTCATTACTACGCTGTTTGATTTGTTCATATATCAAAATATCAATGTCGATCATGCTGATATAGTTTGATCAAAAAATAATTGTTTGAAAAAAAAATATTAAAGCACCAGTGTATAGGCCTAAAAGATTTTTTATTAGTTTTAACGAAGATAATAGAATTTTAAGTTATTATCTTATTTTAAGTATAAGATATATTGGGAACTATCCCTTTGGAGGCAATAATAATTATTGCTATGTGGCAAGCATCTAAATATATATCTACTTGAAGCAGTCAGTCCATATATCATTTCTTTACTAATTATTCAAAAAAAGCAGTAATGCAAAACATAGTAGAATCTAGATATAATGTCAGAAATCAAGCAATCTCCAGATTTTCGTCCCACACTTTTAAAATAAAACGTTTTCCGCAATTGTCTTCATTGTATTAATTTTTATTATTAATTATATATTCAGAACAGTCATATATATGTGTATTTAAACAGGGCTTTTTTCTTTATATAGCAGGAACCGTTATAGGCCTGCTTCCCCAAAGAAAATTTCTTTAAAATCATGAAGTTTTCCCCAAAAATTGAATTAACATCAAGTAATTTTCTTCCCCTTTTGTAAATATATCGTGTTATTTTTCCCCATATATATCGTGTAATATCCCCCATCCCCCAAATTAAGGACTGGGCTGCTTCCCCAACCTGTGAAGAAAACCCCTGATAAGTGCAATTTTTGGACAAGATATCGTGTCTTTAGAGATATTATATAGGCCCATTGCGAATCTTAACTTCCGTACTAAGGTAATATTTAAAATCAATATTTATGACGTCACACTGTTTGACGTGTTATATTCAAGTTTACAAATGAACAATGATGTATATCTAAAGTCCAACTGACAGGTAAGAACGTTAAATAGTGATAATGTGCAGTAACCTATAGTTAATAAAAAGTAAACTGTTGTTGAAATTAAATGCTGCCTTCTGCAGTAAGATCTATATAAAAATGTTTGAATATAAGGCATAATATCAAGTCACGTAGCTTCGTCTGGTTGTTCTGGAGATTGTAGAGTTATCTTTTTGGCCCACATGCCAACATTTATATGCAGCCCCTATTACAGATCTATGGAAAACTGTCTCGCCGGCACCGGCGGCCAATGTCTGTAATTTTACTTTAAATATTCGGTCCTTTACTCTTAAGTAAGAATAAGTCAATCACTGTTGACGGTAGAGGTCACTGGTGTCTTTTTCGAAAGTTTCACCTACAGCTTCATAAAACAAGAGCCGGTCGAGCCGGTTGATGATCAACGAATAGGTTTTGAAATTAGATAAGTACCTAGTTTCTTACTATCTATTGTAGTTTCAGAGTGTGAAAATGAAACAATACCAAAGCAAAGTTACGGGTTTTATGTATTTCACTTTCACTCAATAAGATATATAGATCTACATACAAAGTTTCTTGTTGATACTACTTATAGTTTCAGAGTTATTTTCCAGACAATATTCAAAATGTGGATATTAAAAAGGGCAGCAACTCCAAAATTAGGCAAGGCTGAATTACGGTTAAAATGCACTATATACTTCTGCTCAATTGGATCTACCTACCTTCTTAGTGTATTGTCTCTCTTGTAGTTTTAGAGTTATGTCTCGGACAATGTTCAAAGTGTAAAAGAACAAATGCTCTAGATAAGGTAGAGTTGCAGTTCTTAATCATTGCCCTTTTACTCGATGAGATTCATTAACCTTTGTAATACATTTACGCAGTAAAACATATTACATTTCCACAGTAATAAATATCTGCTGTAATACATATCTGCTGTATTTAAACGTATTCATAGTAATACATATCCACAGTAATACATATTACATTTCCACAGCAATACATATATTTTGTTCTAAAAGTTGCAGATATTTCTCTTGCTCCCTTATTAACGGCTTAGGCATTTTGTATAATTGATAAATTTCAAATGAGTTTCTTTGTTCTTCTTTTTTTTTAAGTAATTACTAATAAACTTGATATCTAACATCTCATTACTTACTATATCTACCTTTCATTGTATATATCAAACAAGATTCTATCCTATACTAAGTTTCAAAGATATGATTTTCGTGTAATTCTGCTGTATTTAATGTTTCCGAGGGATCACATTTTTTTCCTGATCATTTCCATTTAAATCATTTATGTATTTTGATATAGAGTGAGAGATAAGTATATATCTTACAACATTAATGTGACTTAAGATTACAGTCATCATTGAGATGAAAAAAATAACTGTATCAGTCACAGTACAGCTCTATTTCACTTTTTCGCCGTGTTTTTTGTGATATATAAGATAGCTTTCATAATAAACGAAAATCCGGATTAAGTTTGTTTTTTGCGTTCAATGATTAAGTCCTTATTCCGAAATATCATTGTTTGAATACATTATGTACAAAAAGGCTCACAACGCATTATAGCATTTAAATATGTATTTGGTGACCTGATTTAATACGGCTAATTGGTGAAAAATATATTTCGTATCCCTGCGAATAGGCATAAGACAATGTGTAAAATGAATGTAAATATTCCGTCTGTTTAAAAAGTTAAGATTAAATTACACAAATCGTCGTATTTATTATTTAGCAAACTTACTCCTACTGTGATGAATGTGACTCATTCTTAAGACAAGAATAACACGTATATATTATTATAAAATAATCGTTCAATTTTTTATGATTTTATTGTTGTTGTTTTAAGTAGAAAACTATACGAGAACAGCTGCGCTGTGCTGCATACATACACATCATTAATTTAATAGCACAGTGTCATTATTGCATAAATTATTATTGGATATATTATGATCAAACTTGGATAAAAAGTTTTGTAAATGGCTTGAAGTTATAGAACTTATAGTATATATATATATGACATTCAGAAATATAGTGTTACACGCAATCTGGAAGAAAACGGAAAATTAAGGTACAGAAATATAGTGTAGTAATTGGTGGAGGAAAACGAAAAAGGTACGGGAAATTGAGTTGTTTCGTACGGATATGTACTGGATTTACTATATAAATTATCATGTATAATAGTTGTGTTATGAATACAAGTAGTGCTATTGATATTATTATTATTATTATTATTATTATTATTATTATTATTATTATTATTATTATTATTATTATTATTATTATTATTATTGGTGTTGTTGTAGTTTTTGGTGGTGGTGGTGGTGGTGCCTTGTTACGTTTCTCTTCGACGAAATAACTGTGATATCATTGGCATCTTAAATCGTGTTGGCTATTAGTACAGTTACAGTGTATTAGTATTTTGTATAGAAGTGAAAATAACACTTTGTTTAAGTTTTGCTACCTTTAGCACAAACATTTTCACATTCAATGTAATTTAAGTGACCGTTCAAGGCAACTGAAAACAGGTTTTTTATATTTAAAAAACGGTCTCCTATGACAAAATGTTCATTTTTCATAACAAAAGCATAAGTTAACATAATATGCATGTATACATTTATTTCATCATTCCACTTTTAAACTTTTCATATATTTTTTTTTAAAGCTGCGTAAAGATAAATAATTATTTAATATATATTTATAACATGTATCATTTAATAACGATTTCAAGCTGTGTCACGAAACATCTGTTAAATGCAGTGTGCAGTATTCTATGATAATTGATCTGTATCTATTTAGTACATAATGTACATGATTTAACATGATCATCTAAACAAGCAGGATGGCGCATTTAAAGGAGTGAGACTTCAAAAAAAAATTATGGAGTACCAAACTAAAAGGCGGAAAAGGCGCTTTGAATTATTAAATGCTTAAATCTCGCCTTTTTCACCCGTCGAAATGCAATTCATGAATGAAAAAAGTTAGAATCGGCAAAACAGCGATATTTTTATACTATGAGTTTGTGCGTCTAGAAGTATACTGCAGTGTAAAGGCGGGAAATGATTTTATATAAAGTCTCGTGCCACTTACGCATACAATAGTGCATTAATGATAGAGCGTTTATTTGCATACAAGAATACGTCGTTTAAGATATGGAATTCAAACATTGCACTATTGAACATATAGGAGGTAAAGACATGCATGCAATATAATCACTGTGTTGACTTTGATATTTACACTTTCAAGTGACGTAATAGTTAAAATGAAAGAGAAGTTAGGAAATCAATGAGGTGCAATTTTAGGGAGCCCCTAAGGTGACATTTTCCACTTAATTCGTTTTTACGAAATAATAATTAGTAATTACGAAATTATATTTCGTAATTACGAAATATTAATTCGTTTTTACGAAATATCAATTCGTTTTTACGAAAAATGAATTCGTTTTTACGAAATATTAATTCGTAATTACGAAATATTGATTCATTTTTACGCAATATTTATTCGTAATTACGAAATATCAATTCGTTGTTTTTTTTCGAAATATACGAAAAATTATTTCGTAGTAGCGAAATATTAATTCGTAAAAACGAAATGTTATTTCGTAATAACGAATTAATATTTCGTGATTACGAATTACTATTTCGTAAAAACGAATTCATATTTCGTAAAAACGAATTAATTAAGTTCCGGGAAAAAAGTAAATACGAAATAATATTTCGTACAAACGAATAAATTTTTTCTAGGGATTCAAAGAGTTTTGGTTATGTTTATAAAGAAAGCCTTGAAATTAAGTTCCAGACTAAATATAAGGCATGTAAATGTAATATAAATATTGATTTTTTTCCTCCCCAAGTTTTACAACTTAACACTATTGTATATAAATTGAAATAATCGCCTGTCAATAGCGTTGCCACCATAGCCGTGATAGTACTTAGTAGGTAAGCGTACAATGACCTTAAACAAGGAATTATTATTTCGTAATTAAGTATTTATATTTCGTAAAAACGAATTATTATTTCGTAAAAACGATTTACTATTTCGTAAAAACGAATGAATTTTTCGTAAAAACGAATTTGTATTTCTTAAAAACGAATTAATATTTCGTAATTAAGAAGTAATTACGGATTGATATTACGTAAAATCGAATCAAAAGTGTCAAAATGTTACCTTTTGGGCTCCGTACAATTTAGGTTGATACAGGTACGACAGCATTTAATTACTGATGTCTTGTTAAAATCGAAATAGTATGAGTTATCTTATCGCTCAATAATTCACTGTAAAACTGCGTCGTTATGGTGCGCAGCATTGAATCACTATAGTTAAGCCGTTGTGGTAAGCCTATAATTCCTCGCATCGAAACTCCAAATATAGTGATTTTATTTAAGCAATAAGATCACTGTTGGGGATATATTATTTCTTAACACATTTTCATTTGTTTTCCTTATTCAATCATAACTTACGACGTGTATCACTTAGGTTAACGCTGTTCAAGTCACAATTCATAATAAATTTCTTTGATTTGTCAACCTCCATTTTCTATGAAAAGTGTCCGGTAATAAATGACGTATACAAAATTCCGTCTGCTAAATGTCGTCAACTAAATGTCATCTACTAAATGTCGGCTACTAAATGTCGTCTGCTAAAGGTCGTCTTCTTAATGTCATCTACTTAATGTTGTCTGCTAAATGTTTTTTCCTAAATGTCGTCTGCTAAATGTCTTTTACTTAATGTCTTAAATGTCTTCTACTAAATGTCGTCTGCTAAATGTCTTCTACTAAATGTCTTCTACTAAATGTCATCTACTTAATGTCGTCTACTTAATGCTGTCTTCTAAATGTCGACTACCAAATGCCGTGTCTTCTAAGTGTCGTCTGCTAAATGTCTTCTACTAAATGTCTTCTACTAAAGGTTATCTACTAAAAGTCGTCTACTAAATGTCCTCTGCTAAATGTCTTCTAATAAATGTCGTCTGCAAAATGTCGCCTACTCATTGTCGTCCACTAAATGTCGACTGCCAAATGTCGTCTGCTAAATGCAGTTTTAAGCTTCATTGGATACGCTAATAAAATTTGATAATTTCATAGTTTGTATAAACGTAGGCATAAATATCATTTCTCAAAATAAACTTAAAATAAAATGGCTTAAACTTTTTTTTCAAGATCCAGTGTTGCGAACGTAAAAGGTGTGCATGTCTAACATATGCAAATAGGCAGAGAAGTATAAGAGAAAATGTCTTTGAGGAAATACAAGTGGTTAATGAGTAAGTTTGATTTTCTAAATATTAGTGTCTGAAACCTTAAGGTAGCCTTTATTACATTCATAAGTATACACAATTGTGATATACAAAGTACTGATAAAAATACTGAGACAAATAAAAAGAAACCCCCCTTTTTAATTCATTTTTATCAAATTGAAGGTCTTAAAAGTAAATAATAAGAATCAGAATATTTTTGGTATAAAAAGGGAGTGAAACTTCAACAAAACAGTTTACTCCCATTTGGGATAGAAACGTCTTGGTGTGAGCCGTCTTCAATAGTGAAACGTCTGTCTACCTGGTTTATGTCCCTGACTTCTATAATACTATCGTTTGACCAGTGTCTTCCACCGTGCATTATGCTTTCATTTGTTAAAACATTGTTATTCAACCATTATACATTTTTAATAGATTCATGCTTCAAACATTAAATTAATTCAGAGTTATATTTAAATATATAAAGGGCATCAAACCCTTTTTTTGCATTGGAAGTGACGCATTCTAAACCAAACATGGAAATGCAGGACTTTTGCATGGGGGAATATATCATAAAACGAAAGCAAACCATGGCAAACCATTTCGTGTTATATATTGTAAAATATGAAATTATCAGATTACAAGGTTGTCTCCCTTTGTTAAAAGACATCATCGGTATCGGTACAATGTCTTGTCTGAATATATTTAATCATAAACTTACGAGATTATCTGCCTTTCTTACAAACTTAAAAATCATGAACAAGAAAAATATTGATCTGGTCGTATTATTAGATTATGAGTTTACGAGGTTATCTCCCTTTATTATAACTAATATTCAATAATGACTTTACAAGGTTGTGCCCCTTTATTTACAGAACAACAGCGATACAGTATTCTCCTGGTTGTAACAACTACGTTCATAATGTACACATTCTTATGGAAATGTAAGTGTTTTGGAAGTTTTGGATGTTAATCAAAATAGATTGAGCCTTTTTAAGGTTGTATGTTTTTGAAGGTGTGTTTGTTAACATGTACCCTTTTTCTTTCTTTCTTTCTTTCTTTCTTTCTTTCTTTCTTTCTTTCTTTCTTTCTTTCTTTCTTTCTTTCTTTCTTATTTTCTTTCTTTCTTTCATTCTAATTTTCTTTCTTTAAAAAAATATTTCTAAAAATATCTTTCTTTCTTTCTTTCTTACTTTCCTTCTTTCTTTCTTTCTTTCTTTCTTTCTTTCTTTCTTTCTTTCTTTCTTTGTTTTGCTTTGCTTTGCTTTTGTTTGCCTCGGCCTTTGTTCTTCTATTCATATTTTTTTTGTAAACGGCCCTTTAACATGCATGATTACTTGTATTTTAGTTAATATAAGAAATGCTATGATTTTTTTTGTTGTAATTGCTGTTTTTTTATATTTTGTTATTAACCTTTTCATTACTAGCTTTTAAAAGTAAAGCTCTAACCAAGGATCACAAAATTCAGAGATAGGCACCTTATTCACTAGGCCACAAAGACGCACTTTGGTCAGAATTGTCCGTATCAAATTTATTTAAATATTGCTCATTCATTTACTTCTTAATTGAGAAAAAGACATCTTATTCGTTAGACCACCTTTACCCATAAGACGCACTTTGGTCACAATTGCCTGTCATAAAATTATTTGAATATATTTGATTTACAAATTATTTTAATTGTCTTTGTTTCTTCTTCATTAGTTACAGTAAACAGTGGAGTCCATGACAATTCAATATATGGACAGCTAAAGGTTAGCGGAAACAGTACACATCGTCACGTTATTCCTTTGACAACGCAAACCGTCACCAAGAGTATGTAGGATTACGTAATTGACGTTTACTTTTTATATGAATGTTATTTCAAATTGTTCTTCTCTGAGAACTGACTCTTTTTCATCAACTCTAAGCCTGCAAATGGTGATAGATTCTCCTAATGCGAACATCGTCATGACCTGACGACATATCTTGCCGATCATGAGCAGACGACATGTCTTGCCGTTCATGAGCAGACGACATATCTTGCCGATCATGAGCAGACGACATATCTTGCCGTTCATGAGCAGACGACATATCTTGCCGATCATGAGCAGACGACATATCTTGCCGATCATGAGCGGACGACATATCTTGCCGATCATGAGCAGACGACATATCTTGCCGTTCATGAGCAGACGACATATCTTGCCGTTCATGAGCAGACGACATATCTTGCCGATCATGAGCAGACGACATATCTTGCCGTTCATGAGCAGACGACATATCTTGCCGATCATGAGCAGACGACATATCTTGCCGATCATGAGCAGACGACATATCTTGCCGTTCAGGAGCAGACGACATATCTTGCCGATCATGAGCAGACGACATATCTTGCCGATAATGAGCGGACGACATATCTTGCCGATCATGAGCAGACGACATATCTTGCCGTTCATGAGCAGACGACATATCTTGCCGTTCATGAGCAGACGACACTTTTGTCAGTAAATATTTTGAAAATTTCCCTGACAATGACAAATGGTCATGTCATTATTGAAGGATTGATTAGTCCTTTAAATAATAAGCGTATTAAATATTAAAAATGTTTATTACTGGATCGGAATCATGGGCAATATTCTTTATAAATTGAAAGGCCCATTTAGTCTCAGAAATTCTTAAGTTTTATATTTCTCAAAAGCTGTTTATGTTTGTTGTACTTTTATAGTACCAAAAAGGTTACAAATTACTATAACCTTTGTTTTTTTTCTTCATCTGTTGCTTTTTGGTAATCAGTATTATAGTTATAGTGATTTACTATTTTGTATGGAAGTCACGATACTTGTTTGTTTACACTTTGCTAGTATAATGACAAAATTTCCAACATTTATCACTACTCTCTGCAGGTAAAAAGCATCAAACTTTCTCTATCAGAATTCATGTTTGCCTTTCTAAAGAAGTGAAAATTTATTATGTTTCTGAGGCATACTGTGCGTTGAAGTAAATATAGGTACACATTCTAGATCACATGGTTTACAGTTCATAATTATAGTCCTTTCATTTCAGAACACAAGGAAAAAGGTATGTGTGACCAATGGTTTGAAGACTCGTTCGAGAAAAATTTGGAACACATCGCTCGTTATCCACGTGGACTGGCTGACAAATACATGTATACCATTGCCGAAAATCGGTCAGCACCAAAGACTGTGTTTAAAACATTTCCGGTCGTTGTGACTGCGGCAGATAGTGGGTTTTATGGTATCTCGCAAGGTTTGATTAAATCTGTCTATGAGAAATTGTTGCCAAAATACAAAAATATCAAGATAGTCTACTATGATATGGGACTCAATCCTAACCAAAGAAAGCAGGTAAGATCTGCAGCAGTTTGACGATTATTTTGCTCAAATATTAACTCTGAAGTTAATTGTATAAGTACAAAGAAGTCAAAAAAGTTTGCTCCTGCTCACAGAAAAGGCCATGCCTGAAATTTGGACATTTTCTATGTGTATATAAACTATTGCAAAGTCGGTGTATGACTTTAACAGAACAGCCTTAAATTAAAGCCAAAAACTTTAAAAAAAAAAAAGGAATAAAAAACTACTACGCATTTTTTTATCCATTTGGTTCTTAAATTGTTTTATATATTGTTCAATATCATTATGTCCCAGTATTTTTATGAATTGTTGGCACGAGGTACCTATTATAATTATTTTCTGCTCCAAATCTAACGATAACAAACACGTTTATTTTCCAGTTAGAGACACACTGCAAGATTTGTGAAGTGAGGAGTTTTCCATTTGAAAAATTCCCCGCACATTTTAAAAGACTAACAACTTATGCTTGGAAACCTATAATAATAATGGTAGGTGAACGTTAGATTGTAATTTTGCTTTTTTCTATAGTCAAGTTGAACTGAGGTACTTAAACATTTAAAAAAAATTGTCTATCAGCTATGGTAATAGACCAATAATTGAAAGTGAATATTAAAATAGGAAATGTTAAACATTAAAAAAAACTGTTGCAGGCCCCTGTAATACTCGACTTACTCGTTACCGAACACTTATTAAAACTTCAGTGGATCGCATGTGTTATTGAATATTTATGACAGACACCATTTCTTATTTATCTTTTTCTCGACTTTACCAGTCATTTTGGTCTTTAACACGTAGAGGAGGCATAGAAATTAAGGTGTATGCCTCTCAACCCAGGGATCATGAGTTCAAGCCCTACTCGGATAGCGCCCATGTTTCCTAATATGACACCAGTACTGGTTTGTTCCAGGAAGCAGACTCGAATGTGATAAATATAAGTTGCAAAAAAGCTAAAATAAAACTAACACGTAAAACAAACGTTATAAGAATACTTGTTTCAACGTTTGTTTCAATATTTATGATCATTTTTGATAAATATCAACTAAAAAACAATATCAAATGATTTTTTATAGCGTTATTTTCTTCCATTTAATACTTTGAAGAAAAACATGTCTTTATTTTCATATTTTTAAGAATGGCAAAAATACTATTAAAACATTTCTAGCGTTTCCTCTACATTTTGATATAATTTATATCTTAATTATTAAATATCATAATCTATAATAATGAGCAGTCCCGCTTACAAAGTTGTCTGATGTTTTCTTCAATCTTTTCTTTTCAGACATTATTGATGGAATATGGCTGGGTATGGTGGGCTGATAGTTCCGTACGTTACGTCACAAGTGACGTCGATCGCGCGTTGACTTATAGTAAAGATAATTCAATCTTATTCTTTACTTACGGTGTAGTGTTTTCAGTGGCTCAACACACCGATATTCAGACAATGGAGTATCTGAAAGAAGATCGATGTAAATTCCGCCATTTTGGGGAAGTTGAGGCAACATTTGTGTTGTTTCATTTTGATGACGTCACACATACTATAGTAGACACGTGGGCTGCGTGCGCAGTTAATAAAAACTGTATAGCTCCTCAAGGCACAAATCGGAAGTTATCTTGTCGAATAAGCAACAAATCTGATGGCAGGTGTCACAGATTTGATCAGGCAGTTTTAAGCATTTTACTACGTAGACTGTATCATGCGAAAAATGATTACCCTCTAGTTTCAACACCATTTCATATCCACGAAATAAAACGCGGCAATGCTATATCATATTTCCCGGAATGAATATGTCTGAATATACTCGCTTATGATAAAATGTAGAGTGCTGGTGTTTGTAAACAAATACAGGAAGAGCCTCCAAATTTTAATATCGCTATTGCATGCTATCAGTATTATATTAAAATTTGAATAAATGATGAGTGATAAAAGAATACTATGTATTTGTCACAGGGTGATATTTTTTTCAAATCAAATTCTTACATTTGCTATGAATAATTATTATAAAGAGGGTGTGTATGCGTAAGAAAGCAAGCACAAGTCGTAATGATATGTATAGTTTAGTTTAAATATTGTATATTTGGTTACCATTTGTATAAAATTGTGAAATAATGATTGCGGAGAGAGTTTTCAAAAAAGCTTTTCTAGCTTCCTACATGTCCTACTCAATCCGTGAAATGTATCTTTATGTACTTTATTATGTTAATGAAAAAAAGAAATAAAGATATTGTTTAAACTAACATTAAACAAGTAGAACATGCGTTAAAGAGTTTCGAAAAGAGTTTTAAAATCAGCACTTAATTAAAATTGTAACGCTACACGTAAGGATCTGACGACCACAATTATGTTGTATTGAACCTTCTCGTGACCTTTCAGGCTTTCAAACAGCCAATCATCGGCGAGCTTTCACACTTTGAATGTACGTCTGTAGCCTGACAAAACAGTCGAACATGGGATAACTTGATTAGAGTGATATTTGTATTACACATACTATCACGTTAAGATTTTAACATGAAATTTCAAAATTTATGTAAAATTATGGAACGCCTGGACTGTCTTATGTGTAGAATGACTGATATACATGGTTAAATGTCGTTCTGTTGAGTCCGAGATACAATATGCTGGGTCAAAAACCCAATATACTGGGTGGAAATATAAATGCGCTCAGTTATTGAAATGTAATGTTGTGTGCTGATTACATTTTATTCAGTCAAGTCAATGTATTGTCGGGTGCATTAGTCGTTCTGTTTCAGTTCTTAAAACAAACAGGCATGTGGTAACACAATTATGTTGAGTTAAAAATGATATGTTGTAGGGTGTGACAGTTGTTATGTTCGGTTAAAATAGCTCTTCTCATCATGTTCAACCATGAAAAATAAACAGTTGAGTGGTTACTATCATTTCGTTTGGCTGAGGCAGTGTATTATTGGGTGATACTTTTATTATTTTCAGTTGCAATACATGCTGTTGGGTGCTTTATTCAGACTGCTCAGTCGTGAAATAGAACTGTTGAATAGTACTATTATTATGTTCAGTTCAGATGATGTACTGTTCGGTGCAGAGGTCATTATGTTCAGTAGTGAACACAAACTGTTGTGTGTGATACTATCATTATGTTCAGTTTCAGATGATATACTTTCGGTACAGAGGTGATTATGTTCAGTAGTGAACACAAACTGTCTGTGATACCGTCATTATGTTCAGTTCAGATGATATACTGTTCGGTGCAGAAGTCATTATGTTCAGTAGTGAACACAAACTGTTGTGTGATACCATTATTATGTTCAGTTTAGATGATATACTGTTCGGTGCAGAAGTCATTATGTTCAGTTCAGATGATGTACTGTTCGGTGCAGAGGTCATTATGTTCAGTAGTGAACATAAACTGTTGTGTGATACTGTCATTATGTTCAGTTCAGATGATATACTGTTCGGTGCAGAAGTCATTATGTTCAGTTCAGATGATATACTGTTCGGTGCAGAAGCCATTATGTTCAGTTCAGATGATATACTGTTCGGTGCAGAAGTCATTATGTTCAGTAGTGAACACAAATTGTTGTGTGATACCGTCATTATGTTCAGTTCAGATGATATACTGTTCGGTGCAGAAGTCATTATGTTCAGTAGTGAACACAAACTGTTGTGTGATACCATCATTATGTTCAGTTTCAGATTGCTATACTGTTCGGTGCAGGGGTCATTATGTTCAGTAGTGAACGCCAAACTGTGGTGTGATACCGTCATTATGTTCAGTTCAGATCATATACTGTTTGGTGCACAAGTCATTTGACAATGCGCTGAGTGGTTCATACAATTATGTTGGGCTTCATTCGGGATATCTACGCGCAAAACAAGATGGCGGGCGGGAGCAGCTAATTTCCATAGGTCACGTCGAGGCTAATGACCACTAAATTGCCAAAACAATTTTCTTCCCCGTAAATACCATCGGGAGCATAAAAACGTTATTTCCATAAATTCGTATGACAGATCGTATGGAATATTTAATGCCCCATGAGTATTTTATCAAGTTAATTTATGACTATACTATACTGTTACAGTCATAATGGGCACAATATATAAAACTTAAAAATATGGGTAAGGGTAGCCTGTTCAAGTCACACATGACCACCGTAAATATAAACTTAAAATATATGTGTTGGTAACTTTTAAGACTCACAAGTGGACACATCAAAACGAAATTTCAAATATGAAACATAATATACAAGTAAGGCAAACATTTTGAGTCACACATGGCCACCATTATATGGACTGTTAAAGTATGAAGTATGAAACCCCATTTGAGACACACAGACCACAGTAAATGGAACATCTATATATAAAGTAAGGTCAAACATGGCCAAAGTATAAAGAAAATTCGTATATAAGTTAGTGAAACCTAATTGAGTCACACATGGCCACAATATATTAGACATCTGTATAAGTCACGGGAAATGTCTTTGAGTCTAATTTTATTAGGCTACCCTTACTTATATATAATGTTCCATATACTGTGGTCATGTGGACTCAAATAATTTCCCTTACTTAAACATAATGTTCCATAATATTCTGGCTAGTGTACTCAATAGTTTCCTTACTTATATAGATTTCTTCCTTAATGGGTATGTTGACTTTATTGCGCTATCCTTACTTATATTTAAATTTCCAATATACTGTGCCATTTGACCTCATAATGTTTCCCTTACTTAAATATTATAGTTCCATTCTATTATGGTTAGTGTCACTCAAATGCGTTACCATCACATATATTTTAAGTTGCATATGCTTGCCATATGTGACTTTAATAGGCTACCCTTTCTATTATATCCATTACGTTGTGCCATATGTGACTCAACTTAGTCCCGACTTGTATATATGTTTTATATTTTAAATTCGTTGCTGTGTCCATTAAAATGTGACTTCTTATAGGTTACAAACAGATTAATTTTAAGTTTTATGTACGGTGGTCAGGTGTGACTTTAACAAGCTACCCCTTAACCCATATTTTAATTTTATATACTTTACCCATTAAAGACTGAACAGTATCAGTATTGTCATGAATAACTAAAAAAATACCCATGGTATTAAAAGTCGCAATTTATGAAAATAACGTTTAAGCCCCCGATGATATTTACAGGAAGAAAATTAATTTTTGCAATTTTAGTGTTCATTAGCCTCGAAAGTGACCTATGGAAATTATGCTCCCATCTTTTGCCCGAAAATATCGAATAATCCCAACATAGATTGTATCACTATCAACAGTTTTCATCTGAACTTAACATAATTATGTACCAAAAAACTCACTGAACATTTAAACGACCTTTCACCCAAACAAACACATTGCTTGACGAAGAAATATAATCAACACAGATAATGTATACCATTTAAGATCAGGAGTGTACCATTAACATGTCTATTCACGTACTGAACAGAAGGAATAAAGCACCCAACAGCATGTCATTGGAACTGAAAATAATGAAAGTATCACCCAATAATACACTGCCTCAGCCAAACAAAATGATAGTACCACTCAACTGTTTATTTTCATGGTTGAACATGATGAGAAGAGCACCAAACAGCATATTATTATAACCGAACATAATAACTGTAACACCCTACAGCATATCTTTTTATCTCAACATAATTGTGTTACCACATGCCTGTTTGTTTTATGAACTGAACATAACGACTTATGCACCCGACAATACATTGACTTGACTGAATAAAATACAGTCAGCACACAACATAGCACTTCAATAACTGAGCACATTAGGATTTCCACCCAGCATTTTGTATCTCGGACTCAACAGAAAGACATTTAACCGGGTATATCATTCATTCTTAACATAAGACAGTCCAGGCGTTCCATATAAAATCGTTCAATGATTTATAAATGCATTGGTAGCCACCATATTCGTAAAGATTTACAGAGCGTGTCCGAATTTGCATGTTCTATATTTATCACATTTTTCAACCTACTTTGTTAAAGGAACTTGACTGATGTCTAAAACAGTAAAAACAACAAAATTAGAATGTCTTGCATATATTAAAGCTCGGTCACATAAAATAGAAAAATAAACAAACGAAAATTAAGAAATATACTACTCTGAAATATATTGGAAATCGTATATTTGTGCTATTCTTAGCCCGATTATTTACGTTTTTATATATATTTTTTTTAGCAATTAAAAAAGACAATTATACTGGGGAAAAAAGAAGTGAGCGAATGATGTGAATGTTTTCACACAAGGCCTTGGTTTTGACATACATCAAGTGAAACATTAATCTCGAAAACAATTTAAGTTAGAAAATTTAGAGACCTTATTAAAGGTCCATCGCTGCATTTTAGAATATTGACAAAGAAAACACCTCTTGTCCTTCATTTCAGTCTGAATAAATGAATACTTAGTCGATCTAATTTACATTGTCTAGTCCACCTTTTATAAGTAAATGTAAACAATTCAATATGGCTTCTTTCTAAACGATTTATTCGAGCGGTTATACAAAATGGATTCTTTTTCACACAATTTTTTTTTTCTGTTATCCAAACTGCAAAGTTATTGTCTTATTGCTTTAACTTTGAAGAGTTCCTGTACTTATCATGTTTCACATATGAACTACAAAATCTAACATGGATTATTATTGTCATATTGTATGTTGTTCAACCAATAAGACTGGGAATAAATGTAGCTTTAAAAGCATTTAACAAAATAGATACATGTGAAATACTTATAAACAGAAATGTCAGCGAAAAGATTATATGTGTATACATATACAGTGAGTCATCGGACAGTGACCTTGAGCGCAGTTTTCACAGCACCACTGTAAAAAACCTGGAATACTCGAATATGGCTCTAGTGCCAAACATGCCATACTTGATGAGCATATTTCAAAGTCATCACCGTTTGTTGTTGTCGTCGGAGATTCCGTTGTTTCCACTTCCGTTGTTGCTGTTGGTGTCGTTGTTGTTGTTCCTTCTTCCGTTAAACTTTTGAAAATAAATCAATGTCAAAATTAACTAATGCCTAAACAGGAATATGAACTGGTTTCAATTAAATTATCAAAAATGATCAGCAAAATATAATTACATTTTGATAAACAAACGGCGGCCAAATTTTCATAACGCTTATAAAATCTCTAAAATAGAAATCCATTTGGAAAATATAATTTAAGGTTTATATTTTTACATCACCTTGTTAACAATAATTTATTTCGTCTTATTACGTATATATTGTCATGGGATAGATAAACGCTTGTTTCTTACCTAGTTGACGAAGCAGACGATATTACGGTTATCGATGACGTCAGCGCTGTCATAGTAGCTGATTGGCTGACACTGGAACTACTTTCAGTCGGAGCAGTTCCGGTTCCTCCGTCATTAATTCGGATATCAGCGCAATTCACGAAATTTTCCTGAGGGCCACGACCAATACCACATCCTTCGGAATCGCAATTCCAGCTATTTCCTGTTTAATAATATAAAGACAGAACTGGAAATTACCTTCAAATGAACATAGCAGGTAGTTCAGTTTCT